TTGAGACTCGAACCCAGAAGCTATCCTGACCGAGGTTCTAGTTGTTTCATGAAGTCTTCCCAGGATATACATCATCAGTCCCCTACCTTATCCTAACCTACTCGCCATTTACGATAATTTTCCTGTCTCGTTAAAAATGAAATAAATTTATAAACTTTCATTTGTGGCGATAATAGCTGTCAAAAACTACACTCGGGGGGAGGGGGCGGAGACATGACAATTGTTAGCCAGATGTAAAGGTACGGTTACATGATCAGTAATGCAAACCACAACGCCGAGAATTCCTTAATATCGTTACCATGGCAACGGTTGTTAACTCTAAGCACAAACGTGACGGGCATCGGGTATCGTTTATTAAGATAAATGTGACAATAGACTTTACACTGTCTTATCAAATCGATCAATGCTTTAAAATGTGCCCAGGCTTTCGAGTAAGTCAGTCTTAACACAAATGTGGCCAAAATACATTCCATAGCATAGTGCCCCGAGGAAAAAGAAACATCTTCTTAGTCCATTACGAAAAAATGTTCCCGGCAATAACTGGATATTTTACTTAGACTAATACTGTGGTCAATCTGAAGATCCCGAAGGCTTGCTACTGCTGAAACCATTGGACTTTATCCTGTGTGAGTTAAGTTCAGGTTAGTTTCTCACGTGTTTCTCTAGAACTATTTTAATGTTCAGATTCTGGTGTGCTCTGACGTACTCTTCTTGCTTTCAAAAGTTGCCGTTATTACAACCTTTAAGGTCATAGCAAAATCGTGCAACTTTACAACACGAACAGCGGAGTCAAAGCTTTTGAAGACAGCTCAAAACTTGCATCGTAGCAACACTGTACTGTTGGCTTATATTCGCGCTGTAAGGGAGGTGAAGTCTTTAAGTGGCCTTGAAGGGTGCAATTTGGCGACGGCTACTGTAGGTTGTCATTAACGTTTCGGAGGAGCTTCATCCATATTTGCTCACTTCTACCTTGAAAATGAGATATGTAGTATATTCCTCCTAAACATTAGTTACCACATACGAAACCACAACCCAGGAAACCACAGGATTAAGTCTGCCGTTGCAGTGCGTATCCTAAGCACGAGGTGTCACAACCCACAACACCAACCTCAACCGACTGCCGTTTTATCCTAGGTTTCCGTACTGAAAGCTTTCACGCTTTAAGACCCACCTTCCCAGCGTTCTTCTGCCCCAATATATCGTTTCTCTTAACTGAGCTACTTGCCCTCCAGTCGTAGCCTCTGACAGCTGATCTACTCTTGCAAATATAAATTGGTAGGCTTTTCGCCTTGCAGTAACTCCCATTTTAAAGCCCGGTGTTTACTCTATGTTTATACCGCAATTTTTAGCATCCAATAGCTAAATTTTACCCACACGGCGTATTTATGGGTTTCAAATTATTTTCGCAATAAAGACGGATTATTTTCCAAAACAAAATTAACCAGTTGATGTTTGTAATAGGAAGCCTTATATTTTCTTTGAGATAAAAACTAAATTTTGTTTAGATGCACTTTGTACTCATCTGTAGTCCCAGATATCTACCTTAATTTGTTTTCAGGTGATGTATGTTCTGGAGTTTTCACGGCGACTAAGTACAATAAATTATTCTCGGGCTACCAGCCATGTAAGGTGGCTTAATAAAGCTTCATTAAGTCACCTTACACGGCTGGTAGCCCGAGAAGATTTTTTTTACGTGTTCGTATTTTACCTTATTTCCCTCAGACGAAATTCAACTTAGGGCCATGCAAAACCATGCATAATTTACCATATTTGTTTCAATCGGGCGTATTTTGGAAACAACACGAGGTAATATATCCTTATAAGTAATTTTATGGGTCCGCCGAGTTATGCCTGTTGGAGGCCATTCTCACAGACATCCCTCTCATGATGTATTTTGGTGATAGACAAGTGCAGGAGAGGTCGAGTGTGGGGAGTCTGTTAACGTGATTTCACTAGCGATCTTTAAGAGCGTAATTATCTTAGCATGTACTTAAGAAACGTTTGTACAAAGACTCGAGCGCTGGTTGTATGTATACTGGGGAAAATTACCTTCGTGATATTAACGTAAGTAAACCTCGCGGTGCTAGCTGGTTTGCCCTTCCGCACTACGCCTTCGTCTTTTGTTTCTCACGTCGACAAGATTCTTTCATAAAGTAACTGAACTATAATTGTCGTAATCGTTCTGAACAAAAACACGTATTTGAGACAATGAATACCCGTAACGTCGAAGTTATGAAAGATCCTACATCTTCTGGTCCATAAGGCCAGATTGCAAAGACGAGGCCTACTTGTCATATTCCCGTAACTTACCAAACAGAAATCAGTTTTGAGATATTTATTTAAAAAAAATAGGGAATTTTTTTTAGAAAGTAGTTGAAGTTGAAAAAAGCCACCGACTAGCGTGGCCTATCCCACACTATTTAATGTTCAACTCACTTCCCTCTCTAGTTACCTAACTTGTTTCATTTATATAGACTTTCAGCCAAAACAGGATTAATGAAATCCCAAGGGCTAACTCGCTGTAAGTTTGAGTTAACCTTTCCTTACTCTTTCTCAAACACCAAGCAGTTTCTCTTGCTACCTCGTGTTCTCTTTGTATTTCTTACTGAATCTTCCTTCTAAACTTACTATTTTCTTAGAGGTCTTGCTTCGTTAATTATTTTCGTGTAAGAGCTGCTTAAAAGTATTTATCTGAATTATGGAATTCCATTTCCGCCCCACTCATTTTCTTCCGCTCTTTAATACATTCTATAGCCCTGTCTTTGCTGTTTTCAGTGGTAACTACAAAAAATGAGTGACGAAGAATACGCCTGTAACGATAATTTACCGAATGTTACT